GGGAAGTATAACTCCAATAAATTTAAAGGTTTCCTTCTAAGATCTTTATACTATCAAGGAAGGCTTAAATTACTAATTGAGTCAAATGCCTAAATAACCTGAATAATAATAACAATTGTAACAATAAGGTATAAATTAAGAAAAGAAAAACGAGGAAATTTCTTAATTGGATGCTTCTCACTTAAATAAAATGTAATTGAGTGCAGTCAAAATTGACTTGGATATAGAAAAAACAAAAATAATTGTCTTGAATGATATGGGTAATTGCTATTCACCATTATTTGATTATGAGATGGATACAATTAAAGTGACACTAGACAAAAATAATCTATTTCTCAAAATTTCAATTACATTGCCATTTAAATTGAGTAATTTCAATCCTTTGTGTTCAAAATGGGAGCCTATCATTGAAAACACTGGATTTTAAATAGAAATATTTTAAAGTTATATCTAAGGTTTGGGAGGAGATATAAGCAACTTGATCACCATTGAGTAAATGAAAGATTTTGATAAATTTAATTTGACTCTATCTACAGTTTGCATCTAAACAGTATTAAGAGCTTTGAAAATAATGGAAAAAATATTTAATAAATAGCAACAAGAAGTACATCAGAGTTTTGTAAAATCATTCGGAGGGGGTACAGATGACGATTCATCTCATTCAGAAGATAATATAATTTAGGTATCACCTTATTCCATAAAAAATCTAACAGGTTATCCTATAGTTGTTGAATTTATTGACAATTTGAGATTACCCTCTCTCAATTTACATATCAATCAACAATAAAATCTCATTTTTGATGATGAAATAGAGAGGGCTAGCTCTGGACAAAGAAGAGTAAATGTAACTATAAAAGCAGATAAAGTGCCTTTTCCAATTAAATTAATTGATTTGGATAAAATATCGGCTAAATTATTTGAATAAGACAATCTTCAAGCCTTTGCCAGTGTAAAATTGGATTAGTTGACAAACCAAAAGATTTTGAGTTTGTATGCTCCAGTTGTAATAGTGAATAAAACCAGCAAATCTATCATAATATCAATTAGTGATGACAAACATTAGCAGACTATGAAACTAAGTTAATAAAAAATAGATCAAGAATTGAGTCATATGGCTCCAATTCCTTTGGGATTTGTGAATCCTAAAATAGCAATAAGATTTAGTGAATGCTAAGACTACACTGAAGATATTCTTGTGGATTCTTTGATAAAATAACAGGATAAGAACATTGAAATAGAGACTAGAGATGGACAATATATATTGGTTAAGGTGAGTAAGGACAATGACAACTAAGGAAAGTTTGAGTTAGAACTACAAACTCCATTCAGAATAACTAATTCATTACCTTTAGATATTTTTATCTAAATGATGAACCACAATAAAGAAACAACATTTACAAAAAAGATTTGTCAATAATAAACGATAGAGGACTATTAACATGGTCATTATAAATGCAGCTATCTTAGAGTATATATAGAGGGATATTATTGGTCTGATGAGTTTAAGTTGTAAGCTGCAGAAGAATTATAGTAAAAAAATGATGATTGTATTTCCAAATTAAGTTTGAATGATTCAAATAATAATCCAACTACATTATTAATATTTGAGTCTTAAAAATAATAGGATTATGCTAAATTGACAAGAGAATATGTAATTCATTGTTCTGGCTACATTATCAATAAATCAGGAATCCCATTGAAATATTTTACTAATAATAATAAAAATGATTTGACTCCATTAGGAGGCATGGAATCAATAAATACTGGAGATCCTTTGAATAGATAAATAGTACTTTTGGGAACAGAATCTGGTAACATCTTATCATTGAGTCATACTTCAACCAACTAAAAAATATCTTAATTCCCTATATAGATTTCAACAATAGGTGAACCTGAAATAGATGTAATCATCAGTAATGAGGAAGATACAAATTAATTACTATAAACCTTTTTGGGTGCTAAATTGGAATTAGGAAGATGCAACAAAAAATACACTTTATTCAACAAAATAATTACACTTGAACCCAGATTCATCATTATCAATAATTGTAATTAGGATATAGTTATTGCTTCAGATGAGGATCTCTTTTCTTAAAGTGTTCCCTCCAATTAAAGAATAATATTCTAATCTCATTATAATTCAAAAACTAAAATTAGAAATCCCTGTTAGTTCATCAGTATGAATTTAAGCAATAATGATTATTAAAGCAGCAGTAGATTAAATATCAGTGCTATTGGCATTCTTTATTATTAACTTAGAAGAAAAGATTAACCTAAAGAAAGATTATACTTTAGTTGTGATATTCGCTAAGAAGGATGCAGTCTTTATATTATATTCAATTAATTGCCTCAAGATCAAGCACCATACAAAATTGAATTGCCAGTTGAAAATCTAGAATTGGAAATCCCAGAGTTAGATGTGATACTCAACTCAAACAATTAAGTTACTTATTTTGCATGGGATGATCCATAAAGACTATAAAAAGCATTGAATGTTGAGTTGAGAATTAGGGATGATCCTAATGGAGATTACAAGCCTCTCAAATATACCTTATATCCAGATCATATTGGACTATTTCAAGTGTATACCTTTAGGCCTCCAAAAGGATCGAAAGCAGCATTAATCTCAGTTGCATTATCAATTCTCCCTAAAGGTTGTTAAAAGTAAATTCAAATTACTACAGCCACTTAAGAACAAGTCAAAATGTCTAAACTTAAACCAAAACAAGATTTCTTAAGACAGTTAAAATAACAGAATAGTTTAGATAATGAAGATGAGGATGAATCAAGAGCTCAATCGGTCTCTTTACAATCAAGATAGTCTAGCTCTGAGAATAGTGACAAAATTGAAAATAGAATCAATCTTAAACTCAATTCATTTTCTTTATCCATAGTTCATAATTCAGATGTTAAAAGAAGACCTGCTGAATTTTTCCATTTCACTTGTACTAATATAGAGTTTGTAACTATTTCAACCGTTTTGAATACAGTAGTCTAATTAAGAGTGTAATATATCAATTTTGATCACAATGCTGAATTCTTTGTACAATACCCAGTTGTAATTACACCATAAAAATATGCCTTATATCATGTTGCACCCAAACAATAACAACAATAATAACAATAATAATAGTAATAATAATAGCAATAGTAATAATAGAGTGATAAGTATTTCTTTAATGTCATGATTATTAAAGATAATAGAGTGTCTGACATTAAATTATTCTAAAATATCACTTTCGAAGTAGATCCTTTTGAAATTAGGGTTGAATAGTTGTTTATAAGTAACCTCCTAGAATTCATTTGGGCCATTACATCATTCTAAGGTTAAATCTATGAATTAGATAAGAATTAATCTGGAAGCTTTGTCATGGAGAAATAATATCAAGTATTGAAATAAGAAGAAGAAAAGGAAATAGAATATAACAATTAAAAAAATATGCAATCTTTCGTTTAATTTGATGAAGAGTGGAGAACAAAGAAATTACCTGATCCATAATTGCCGACTTACATTAGTGAAATTGTCATATCACCTATTAAATTGAACTTAACAGTTTAGATGTCTGGCAAAGGTGATTTAAATATGGGTAAACTTGCTATCTTTGCTTCAGTTGCTCAAGCTGTTGGAGTAGTTCTATCAGATATTAGTGAAGCCCCAATCTTCTTTTAAGGATGGAAAATAGAGAATTGCTTTGATACTGGCTCAGGTATAACGAATAAAATGATTCAATTTTATAAATAGGAAGGAATCAAACAAATCGGATCTGTTATTGGAAGTTTGTCAATCATAGGTAATCCAATTGGTTTATTGAATAATATCTCCACTGGATTCAAAGACTTAGTTGATAAACCAGCAGCTGGTTTGACTCAAGGACCCTTAGAGGCTGGATTAGGATTAGCCTAGGGAGCTACTTCATTAGTATCACATACAATTGCAGGAGCATTCAGTTCAGTTAATAAGATTACAGGTAGTGTTGGAAGTGGTCTCGCTAACTTGACAATGGATGAAGATTATTTAAGAAAGAGAGAGAAGTAAAAAATGCACAAACCAAAACATATTGGCGATGGACTTGGATAAGGAGCTAAATCAATTATGACTGGAATTACTGATGGAATCACAGGAGTATTCTTAAAGCCAATTAAAGGAGCAAAGGAATAAGGCATTAAAGGAGTATTCACTGGAACTGCTTAAGGACTTGCTGGTTTAATCATAAAACCAATAACAGGAGTACTAGATGGTATGTCTCAAGCAGCTGCTGGAATATAAAATACTGTTTCATATTTCGATGATAAACCAAATAATAACAGATCAAGAAATATTAGACCTGTCTATGGATTAGAAGGTTATATTTAAGACTTTAATTCAATTGATGCAGAAGGATTTACAATGATCCACTTTTTGAAGGGGGGAATTTTGTAAAATGACCGATTTGTAGCAGCTTACCTAATTGTTCCTGATGTCAAAGAACCAGAAAATAAATTCATGTTGGTTATTACATTTGAACATTTTATTTATATGTCATTCAAGACCAAGAAAAAAGTAAAGATATTACTAGCTATTTTTTTAGGTTTGGATTCTTGAGACCAATGAAGTGACTCATTTAGAAATAGTTCCATCTGGAATAAAGATTTAAGTCAACAAGCCTCAAAAATAATTAAAGGTATTATTATATAATAGTATTTAGAATAAATATGTGACCCAAATTCAATTATTAAAGGAGGAATAATTAGAAGTCTTCAAAACAATGTAAGGTGTTAGGGAAGCTTAAGGAGCAATTTAAAAATGAGTTAAATTTTTATGAATGCTATTTATTTATTAATAAGATTAATAAAGCCAAAACTTATTATATTCTAGAAATTTATTCTTGGTTTTAAATCTTTGATTTTTTTGATAAAAATACTTCGATTATAATTATTAATCCAATAATGAGTAAGTAGTTATCTTTCTATATTTATGTTACAATGTTGGGTATTAAAATAATCTTTGGAAAAATATTAACTAAAAAATCAAATTATAATTAATTAATTAGAATATATAAATTATTCTTGATTTCAATTTTCATCAAGCTTGATTAATACTCTTCTTCCATATCTCTAAATTTGTTAATCATTTGTAGAAGCCTTAAATAATTTATTACAATTTTTACTAATGATTGCTCGATAATTTATCTGATTTCCAATTCTTCAAATTTTCTCTTGCATTCAGGATATTAGCATAGATTTCCTATCGAAAATAAGGAGATTCTAGTTGTCTGATCAGATTTCACTAATTCTAATAACTAATTTAATGCTCCATGTTTGATAAAGTCTTTTATTAGCAAATTTGAATTCCTAACTAAATTTCCGAGTGCCCCGGCTGCATTAGATCTTGTTTTTTCCTAATTATATTATTTATGTAATTTAATACTTCTTAATCTTTGAGTAGTTCAACTAACTAGGGTATTACCGGCCTTAAATTATCATATAATCTATCACTATGGAATCCTGCATTTCCAACTGCAAAACAAGCAAATTTTCTTGTGTTCTTATCAGGATCCGAACAACATTTGATACATAGATTTATTAAATCATATTTCAAAAGTTGTTCATAAAAATAAGAGGAATGTCTACAGAGATTTCCAATTAAATTGCATACTTTTGATCTCAAGTTATAATCTGGAGATTGAATCTATTATTTCAATTCAATGTATAAGTTCATCTGGTGGATATTAGGGTAATAATCAGCACTAATTCTGGCTAGCTATGATAAAATATTAATTGAATCAACACTCATAACTGAATACTTTTACAAAATTGCAAGTCCATTATTTTGAATAAAGCTCTATGCGAAATACTTATCCTCTTCATTATTCCATACCAACTTGGATATAAAGGAAATGATTAAATTAATTTGTTCCTTCTGTGAATTTTTTACAAGGTTTAAAACGAGAGCCACGACATCCTAACTGTTTAGTTCTTTAAAGATATGAGAATTATTTTGATCTTACAATGCTAGAATAAATAATTTAATAATCTATTCTCCTATTTTATTGACACAACCTATGCCACCGCCAAGAGAAGATGGCCATTCTTAAATATTTTATAATTGGACATCTTTCAAAAATAAACACAAAGTTCTAATTGAATTGTCTTAAAACATTAATTAACCTAGTGCTTTAAAGTTCGAATATATGGAATCATGAATTAATATCAACAAAAAAACAAATCCTTTTGGAGATACATCATTTCTACTTGTTATGTTTTTGAAGATCGAAAATATTAGTTGATGAATTTCATATTTTTCTAATAATATAAATAAATCTGTTAATTTCTTTTGTTCTTTATTATATCGAAACAATAATTTAGATATTAATGTTATTACTCCATCAACAAATCCATAACTAGGGATTCCAAAGCTACTACCTTCTAGCTTTCTAATTTCATCTAATCTATTGCTTTTTTTAGTCGGATTTACCAATTCTACAAGTAGTTTATATGGATGTTATTAAGTGAAGTAATTGAGTAATTAGTTTATAAAGCTAGTTTCCGATTGTAACAACTCTGCTATTAATTAAACTGCTGCTAATGAAACGATTGGATTAATTTAAATATTGTTCTCAAAAGTGCTTATCACTTATTAAAAAGTAATTTAATATTCATAGTTTTTATTTCTATATTGTTAAACTAGAATTAATAAGGCAGTTCCTTAAAGTAAAGATTCTTGTGAATTGAGTGATTAATTTATGATTTCTTTAGAAATTTGAATATCCTTCTTTATCCTTATCATTTAAAGTAGAATTCTTAAAACAGATATTCGTATCAAATTTTATTATTCATCCTAATAATTACAAATCTTTAAATGATCAACATCTGCATAAGATGTTATAATCTAATTTCTTAAAGACTCGAATAAAGGTAAAGATTCATTGAAATTTTGCACTTATGTTGAATAACCCTTCTTCCATGGAAAATGGATGATTTCCCCATTTATTGGATGAATCAGTACACTAATTACCTATGTGGCTAATTTATGGATGATTAAATTATTTTTAGTAAGTTTAGCAATTTCATTAACTAAATTATTATCAACTAACTCCTTATAGAATAAAACCGATCTAAGAGGATTCAAACTTGCTTAATTGGCAAAAAGTCCTATGGTCTTAATAGTATTGATTAATTCATTATTCTAGCCTACCCTGAGTATTTAGGCAGTCATGCCAACAAATTTAATAAAAATGTTGTCAATTCCTATATTCTTATCAAAAGTAGCCTAAGCCAATAATCCAATAGTTTTAATCAATTCTGATAATAACTCTAAATTTCCTTGCCTTATAAAGTTCCTAATATGAGTAATCAATTGTATAGGAATTTGTTAATTTTTGACAACATCCAACCCTTCCTATTGATTTCCTTTGGTTATTACTAATCCAAACACTTTTAAAGCACTGTATAATGCTGGCTTTTTAGGTGGAGTCAAAACCTATAGCAATTTATCCAAGAATCCAGGATCACATCTCAATTAAGTTGCACCTTAAACATCATTAGCAATTTGTTCACATCTAACCCAAAATTCATCATTGCATGGCATTCTTTTTGGAGATACATCTCGATTATCTTTTATTTAATCATAAATAATGATCTCACGAGTTGGTGTCAAAGATCTTTTTCTTTTATCTACCACTTCATCCTCAACTCCTGCCCACTGGTTGTATTATTATAATCTCCTCTTTCTATCGCATTTTTCTTAATCTGTTTCAGCAATAAAGGGATGATTTAACAGTTCTGGCCAACCTAACCTTTATGAAGGTGTTTTGTTGAGTAGTCCTTTCAAAAAACTCATAAATTATGAACTCATGTTATCAGGATACTTTACTGGATCCTTAATAATCAGCTGTATTAGAGAGTAGATTTAATTTGTATAAAAGGGAGGCTGTCCGACAAAAAGTTCGTATAATATGACCCCTAAGGACCACAAATCAACAGTGTGATCATACGGCTATTCTTAGACTAGTTCTGGGGCCATATAGAGAGGAGTTCCCTTGATTGAATGCAGAACTTAAGTGTTTGTCGACATAGCTCTAGCAAACCCAAAATCTATTAATTTGACCACTCCATCTGCAGAAATTAAAATGTTCTATGGTTTCATGTCTCTATGAATTATTCTATTCGAATGCAGGTAATGCAATGCTCTAACTAATTATTAAGCTATGATTCTAACTTCACTCTCTGATATTTTTCGATCATCCTCCAAAATTTCAAATAATACACCTTGTCCAAACTAAACAATATTCTATCAAAAAGATTACTTCTGTTACTAAACAAAATTCACCTGCTGTTTCAAAGGCATCTAATAATAATATGATATTTTCATGCTTCAATCTCCTTAATATTTCAATTTCCTATCTCAAATTTGCCAAATCTTTTTCTGACTTCCCTCTCTTGCTAATAAATTTCAAAGCAGCAATCTGATTACTCTTTTTTAATCTTCCTTTATAAACCTTCCCGAAAGACCCTTCTCCTATTAAATGTAATATGTGATAATTTTCCATTTGATTTTAACTTTATTATTAGAATAAAATTAGAATAGAGTTAACATTATTAATAATTCTAAAATTAACAAATATATACATGGTTTAAATTGTAAATCTACTTATAATGTAATAGACTGAAGTAATTAAGTAAATTGAGGGATAATTGAGTAGGACTAGGTCGTAATTGTTTGATCCAATTTATGTTGAGTGATAGGTGAGTATTTTTGGATTAAAATATAAAATTTGATATAAAAATTAGTCTATTCAATTTTAGAGAAAGGGAAATAAATAAATAAAATATATTAAATTCACAAATTTGATAAAATTTATTAACTGGCAAATCCTATCTTGAATTGCAAATTTAATTGATAGAAGTGATTGTCTTTTTTAATATTTTAATTTGAGTTAAAGTTTCTTTGGCTTAATTACGTATAACAATGAGTTGTACTTTGTTGTGATGAAGGCCTGTCGGTTTATATTAATAATTAAAATGAGAACTCGTTTCATAAAAAACGGATAATAATCCCTATTCTTATATTTAGTGATCACTTTTAGAATTCATTTATTATTTTACATTATTATGAAGAAATCTTCATTAATATTGCTTTTGTTTTTGATATGTTCGCTACAAGGTAAAAGTGGTTAAAATATATTTTTAGCGTAACAGTTTGTTGAACTTTAAAGCGGAATTAAATTACAATCGCTTGAAGAATTGAATAATTTGGATACAGGTAGTCTAGATTGTTCTCCAGGCCTGGAATAGGTGAGCAAGTCTATGGAAGCTTGGCAGGAGATTCTCGCTGACCCTGATCAGATAGATAATGATATTGATAATTTGCAGAAACTTAAAATTGCTGTGTCTGATTATAGGTAATCAGAAGGGGAGAAAACAAGTATCTAAAAATATAACATTTAGCATTGTTGCAATATCACAGTACAAAGGGTTCTTTTGCATTTGTTCAATTAAGATAGGAAGATAGAGATACCTTATTACAATAATGGAGACAATATGGTCAAGATATATTAGATGGTTAATTAAATTTATTGGATGAGGCAGCCTCAAAAGAAGATGCCGATTAGTGTTGTGATAAAATAGAGGAGTTAATTAATAAGCTCATAAGTGAAAGAGAATAAATAAGAGAGCAATGCAAAAAACCATCAGTAATTTATTTAAATGATTTATCTAGATTACAATTAATATCATTAATTCTAAATCTGATGATGTACAAAGAAGAGTTGAATCATGTTCTAAAGATGGAATTATAGTGAACACAGACGACAATAAGAAAGTTGTCATCAGACCTGGACAAGGAAGTGCTCCTGAATCTGAAGATGAGCCTGTCAGTGCTTCAGCATTAGTTAGTTCATCAGATTCTGAAGATGATGAGGAAACTGTGAATAAGAAATAACCATCAGATTACACAACTGATAAGCCAGTTAGAACAACAGAGGTTGAGAATGAAGATGAAGAAGGATCAGAAGACTTAGTTGAATATGGATATGGATATTGGGCTAGATTTATGTTGGCTTATCCAAGATTCATGCCTAAGGGTAAAGATGCACCTTGGTACTTTGTTTCAAGGTTGTCTTCCAATAAAAATACAGACAACGTGAATATGGGAGATAGACTATTGGCAATCTGGTTAGGAAAAGGATTCTATCATTTTACTACATGTGATAAAACATAAAATCAACCAAACGTTGTTAAGAATGTTGACTATCCAGTCAATTTGGATGGTGTTTGGACATACATTTACTATTCATACAGCTCAGAAAAGAAAAAAGCAGTTGCTTATATTAAATTCGGAGATGATGATTTTAAGAAAGTTGAGCATGAAGTCACACATCCAACCACTAAATTTGTTAGATTCACTGTTGGTGGCACAGATGAAAAGAGATATCCAGGATTCAATGGTTTATTGAGTACCATTTATTTCAGTGCCAAGAGAGGAGTCTTTATCGATAATGATGATGACATTCAAGCTAAATTACAATCTATGAAAAAAATCCCAAAGGACTTTATTCCTGACCTTGTTACATACAAAGTTACCACAAATCCCATTACAAGAACACCTGAAGACAGAGAAATCCATTAAATTGTTGGTACCACTTCAACTCCTAAATTCCCTCATGAATATGGCATAAGTGGATGGTTCAAATGGACACCAACTGATAAACAATAAGATTGGCACAACATCTTCAGAGTTTAGATTCAAACTCCATCAACTGACAAATTCTTAGGAGATAGAACCTTATCAGCTTGGGTTGGAAAATAAGATGGAGGCATCATTCATTTACCTACTTATACCGTCACAGACCTTGAAGGTAATGGTAATGCTAATCTCTTCAAGAATATTCCTCACAAAAATAGACTTAAATCAATGGTTCTTTGTTTACTTTGGATACTCTAGACCATAATAGAAAGCTAAGGCTTACATCAGATGGACAGATTCAGAGGATCATTAAGAATATGAAAATGTTAGACATTTCACTGTTCCCAAATATTACATCTTTGTAGGAAGAGATAAACATTTCCCAGGATTCAACGGAGACGTTGCCTTGGTTGCATTCAATATTGGAGAAGGCTCATTTAAACCAGGAAATGATTTCAAAGCTAAAAACGATGCTTTCAATGCAGTAGTCGGATAAAAGCAATTGTTAGGAAAATAACCAGATGACAAAGTTAAAGAGAAGGAGGATGAAGACGATGATGATGGTATTACTACTCCAAGTTCTACCGATGATAATAAGCCTAAAGTTGATGAAACCAAAGAATCCGAGGAAGAATTAGTAGAATATGGTTATGGATTTTGGGCAAGATTCTTAACTGCTTATCCAGTTAGGTTACTTAACGGAAAGAATGCCCCATGGTACTTCGTATCCAGATTGACATCCAACCAAAACTATGGAAATATTGCTATGGGAGATAGAACCTTAGCTATTTGGTTAGGATAAGGATATTATCATTTCACTACATGTGACAAGAAATCTAACAATCCAAATGTAATCTAAAACATCAATTATCCCAATGATATTGAAGGGTGTCTGGACATATGTTTACTATTCATATAGTGCTTAAGAAAACAAGGCTATTGCATTCATTAAATATGGAGACTTAGAACCAAGATCAATCATCCATAATGTCAATCACCCAGCAACCAAATACGTTAGATTCATCTTAGGTGGAAAAGACAGCAATAGATACCCAGGATTTAATGGTTTATTCAGTTAAATTGTTTTCTCTGCCAAAGAAGGAGCCTTTGTTGATACTTTAGATGACTTTAATGATCACATCTCTAGAACAATTATCCCAGTTCATGATTTGGATAGACTATATAAACATGAATTAGTTGAAGATACAATTTCAAGAAAAGTCAATGATAATCCAGTTTATGATGAATTAGGTGGTGGCGCTTAAAAATTCCCACATGAATATGCAGTTAGTGGTTGGTTCAAATGGGAACAAACTTAATAATAGGTTTGGCACAATGTTTTCAGAGTTCAAATTAACAAACCATCTACTGATAGATTCTTAGGTGACAGAACTCTTTCATTCTGGATTGGTACAGCTTAAGGAGGTATTTTCCATTTCCCAACTTATACATACACCAACATGAATGGTGCTGGTAATCCCAATATGGTCAGCAATATTGTTCACAAGAATAGACATTTGGAATGGTTCTTTGTTTACTTTGGATACTCTAAAAATGAGAGAAAAGGATTTGTAGGAGTGAAATTCACTGGAGGTATTGAAACTATTGAATACAACAATGTCAACCATTACTACACTCCATATTTCTATACTTATGTTGGTAAGGATAAACAATTCCCAGGATTTAATGGTAAAATTGGATATGTTAACTTTGCTTTGGGAAGTGGTACTTTCAGAAAAACACCAGATTTCAAGCATCCTAATGATGTGTTCGGATTTGATAAAGGAGAATCAACTCTACTTAAGAAACCAGAGTCAAAGAAACCTTAACCCATCACTGATGAAACTGGCGAAAAATAATTACCAAGTGCTCACAATGAAAATAGTCCTAAAGTTATCAAAGAATTCAGATCTGATGTTACATTCACTGAATATGGTTATGGATTTTGGGCAAGATTCTTAACAGCTTACCCTGATCAAATTACCAAATGGTAAGAATGCTCCTTGGTACTTTATGGCAAGATTGACACAACATGAAAATTATGACAATATCAGAAATGGGAGACAGAATCTTAGCAATCTGGTAAGGATAAGGTTATTATCACTTCACTACCAACAATGTTCAACCAGCTAATCCAAATGTGATCAGAAATATCAACTACCCTGCTGATATTGAAGGTCTTTGGACACATTTCTATTTCTCTTACTCTAATACAGGAAAAGCTGTTGCAATTGTTAAATTCGGTGATTTAGATCCAGTGTCAGCTGAATTCCCTGTTAAACACCCTGATTTGAAATATCTTAAATTTATTTTAGGTGGAAAGGATTAAAATAGATACCCAGGTTTCAATGGACAATTCACTCAAGTCATCTACTCAACTTCAGTTGGTGCATTCATTGATTCTGTTGACAATTATAAGAAACAATTTGCTGATAAGCCATCCCCACTTAAAGGAGGAAAAGTCCCACTCTCAACCACAAGAATTGTTGATTCCTAAATTGATAGATAGGTTAACTCAGATCCAACTAAGACAACAGTAGAAACAGTCTTCCCTAAGGAATATGCCTTCTCTGGTTGGTTCAAATGGTCATAACCTACTACTCCATAATAAGCTTGGCACAATCTTTTCAGAGTCTAAATTTCTTACCCATCAGCAGACAGAAATTTGGGAGATAGAACTTTGGCTGGTTGGGTAGGAAATGGAGGAATCATTCATTTAACAACATATTCTTACAGAAATATGAATGGAGCTGGACAAAATAATTTGCCATAAAATATTCCACACAAGAACAGACATCTTGATTGGTTCTTCGTTTACTTTGGATATAACAAAAACGATAAATAAGGATATGCTTATATTAAATGGAAGGACTCAGATGATAACTTAGATTTCAAAGACATTAATCATTACTTTGCTAATAAATATTATGTCTTCACAGGTAGAGATGCCTAATTCCCAGGATTTAATGGAAAAGTTGCATATGTTTCATTCAATGTAGGAGAAGGTGCTTCAAGAAGAGGAAATGATTTCAGTCATCCAGATGATGCATTCAGATTTGATAAAGCTGGTTAATTGATTCCAAAAGTAGACCCATCAAAACCAAAAGTTGATGAGAATACAGTTCATGTTAACAAAGTTGATAACAATTCACCAAGAGTTGATGAAATCTTGAGATCAAATGATAATTTAGTTGAATATGGTTATGGATTTTGGTCTAGATTCTTAACAGCTTATCCATCAAGATTGATATACGGAAAGAATTAACCATGGTACTTTGTCTCAAGATTGACAACTAACGAAGATTATGATAATGTTAGAATGGGAGACAGAGCTTTGGCAATCTGGTAAGGATAAGGATACTATCATTTCACAACTTGCAACAAATAAAATGGCGCAGTCAATGTAATCTAAAATATCAACTATCCTGATGATATTGAAGGAGTATGGACATACATCTACTATTCCTACAGTGCTGAAAAGAAGAAGGCTGTTGCATTCATCAAATATGGATCAGAAAACTTCAAATCAATCACTCATCAAGTTGTTCACCCAACCACATAAAGTGTTAGATTTATTTTGGGAGGCATGGATGAAAAGAGATACCCAGCCTTTAATGGTGTTTTCACTAAAGTTGTTTACTCTCATCAAATCGGAGTTTTTGTTGATTCAATTGATAAATTATAAGCTGGAGTTGTTCCATAAGTTCCAGTCGATTTAAGCAACACTAAGATTGTCGAATCTCCAATTGAGAGATCAGTTCAAGTTGCTCCAACTGAAACTACCGTTGGCAAAGATGATGAGTTACCAAAATTACCAGAAGAATATGGACTTAGTGGATGGTTCAAGTGGACACCTACTTAACAATAAGTTTGGCACAACATCTTCAGAGTATACATCAACACTCCAGCTAGTGACAGATTTTTGGGAGATAGAACACTTTCTCTTTGGTTAGGTAATCAACAAGGTGGTATCCTTCATTTCCCAACTTATACATACAGCAATATGAATGGTGCAGGAAATCCAAATGTTGTTTAAAATATTCAACATAAAAATAGACACAATAACTGGTTCTTCGTTTACTATGGCTATTCAAAGGTTAATAGACAAGCATATGCTTATGTAAAATGGACTGACAGCGAAGACTCATTGAACTATGTTAACATTAATCATTACTATGCACCAAAATTCTATGTCACAGTAGGAAAAGATAAATTCTTCCCAGGATTCAATGGATTTGTAGCATATGTTAACTTCAATCTAGGAAAAGGAAGCTTTAGAAAAGGTAACGACTTTACTCATGATGGTGATTTCTTCGGATTTTCTACTGGTAAAGATAAATTATTCCAACCACCTAAAGTAGGTGCTCTTCCAGAAGTTGAAAAAACAGTTCATGCAAGCAAAACATCGGAAGATGCTCCAAAGGTTGATAGAACAAGTCCAGAGGGCTAAGATAATTTAGTTGAATATGGTTATGGATTTTGGTTGAGATATTTAACAACTTATCCAGAGAGATAACCAAATGGTAAGAATCAACCATGGTACTTTGTTTCAAGATTGACATGGCATAAGGAATATGATAACATCAGAATGGGAGACAGAACATTGGCTATCTGGTAAGGATAAGGATACTACCATTTCACAACTTGCAATATCTAAAATAACAATGCAAATGTTATACAGAATGTCAATTATCCAGATGACATTGAAGGTCTTTGGACATTTATTTACTATTCATACAGTAAGAATGAAAACAGAGCTAAGGCCTTTATTAAATACGGAGATGGTGATTTCTAAGCAGTTGATCATCAAGTCACTCATTAACCAACTTAAACCGTTAGATTTATTTTGGGAGGTACAGATGAAAAGAGATACCCAGCCTTTAATGGTTTATTCACTTCAGTCTACTTCAACACTAAAGTTGGTGCTTACATTGGTAACGTAGATGCAGCTAAAAAGTTTGTTAATGATTTCTCACCAATTCCAAGAATCAGAGTCACTGATTTGATCAGCAAACCTATTGTTTCAGATGAAGTTGAAAGACAAGTAACAGATAAATAAACAGAAGCAACTGTCGAAGAATAGAGACTCCCTGATGAATATGGAATTTCAGGTTGGTTCAAATGGAATGAGGTGGCCCAATAACCTTGGCATAATATTTTCAGAGTTCAAATCAAAACTCCTTCAACTGATGCATTCTTAGGAGATAGAACTCTTTCTTTATGGTTAGGAACTCCTGAAGGTGGTATTTTACACATGCCAACATATTCATATACAAATATGAATGGAGCTGGTAATACTAATTATTGGAAGAATATTCAACACAAAGACAGACACACTAAATGGTTCTTTGTTTACTTTGGTTATTCAAAACCAAAGGCCTAAGCTTATGCTTATGTTAAATGGTCAGATTCTGAAGATTCAAATACCTATGATAAAGCTAACCACTATTATTCAGCAAACTATTACATATTCGTTGGTAAGGATCCCCATTTCCCAGGATTTAATGGAAAATTAAATTAAGTCACATTTAACATTGGTGATGGATCATTCAGAACAGGAAACGATTTCACTCATCCAAAGGATGCATTTGGTTTCAGTACTGGTTTAGATAAATACTCAAAGAAAGGAGATGCCCCTTCAGTCAGATCAGAAGATAAAGTCTTAGAGAGTGCTGAAAATTCAAAACCACCTGTTTTAGATAAAGATGCTACTTCTGATAAGAATTTAGAGACTTATGGTTACGGATTCTGGTTAAGATATTTGACAGCCCATCCATTCAGACAACTTTCTGGTAAGAATCAACCATGGTACTTTGTTTCTAGATTGACATGGAATAAGGAATATGATAATATTAGAATGGGAGACAGAGCCTTGGCTGTTTGGTAAGGATAAGGATACTATCATTTCACTGCTTGTAATTCTAAGACTGGTAATGTGAACTAAATCCTCAATATTGATTACCCAGCTGATATCGAAGGATTATGGACATACGTCTATTATTCATTCAGCGTTGATGAGAATTAAGCTGTAGGATTCACTTAATATGGTACTTCTGAACCAAAATAAATTGTTCATAAAACATCTCATGCTGCCACAAAATATGTTAGATTTTTATTGGGTGGTACTGATGAAAATAGATACCCTGCTTTCAACGGTTTGTTTGCTTCAGTTTCATTCTCAACACAAAATGCCTATGTTGGAACAATAGATGAATTCAAAAAATTAGTTGCATCTGTCCCAATGCCTTCTTAAGGACTTAGAGATTTAACAACTTACAAATTAAGTGAAGTCATCACTAGAACACCCACTGACGATATCTCTAAAGAAGTCACTGTTGGAGGTGGTAAAGAACAATTCCCATCTGAATATGCTATTAGCGGATGGTTCTAATGGAAACCAATTGCCCAACAACCATGGCATAACCTCTTCAGAGTTACTCTTAAATAGCCATCAACTGACAATTTCTTGGGTGACAGAACATTAACCTTATGGATTGGTACTCCAGAAGGAGGTATCTTACATTTCCCAACATATACATATGCAAATATGGTTGGAGGAGGAAATAACAATTACTGGAAGAATATTGTTCACAAGAATAGAATCAGAGAGTGGTTCTTTGTTTACTTTGGATACTCAAAGACTAAGGCTTAAGCTAACGTATATGTTAAATGGACTGATTCTGAAGATTCCTTATCATATGATAAAGCTAACCATTACTTTGCACCATAATTATATGTATTTTTGGGAAGAGACAAGCATTTCCCAGGTCATAGTGGTAAAATTGCTTATGTGAGATTTAATTTGGGTAATGGAGCTCACATCGAGAATAATAAGTTTGATCATCCATAAGATGTATTTGCATTCAAAGAAGGAACAGAAAAATTATTCAAGAGGGATGAGTAACTCCTACCAGATGAACCTACCAAAGATGTTTATGAAAATGGATTCGAACAAAAATAACCAGTTATTAATAAGGAGAGTCCATCAGAAAGTGCTCTTGAAGAATATGGTTATGGTTTCTGGATGAGATTCTTGACTTCCTATCCTTAAAGATTACCAAATGGTAAGAATCAACCATGGTACTTTGTATCTAGATTGACATGGAATAAGGAATACGATAATATTAGAATGGGAGACAGAGCTTTGGCTATTTGGTAAGGATAAGGATACTATCATTTCACTACATGCAACTCAGCAGACAATAATCCAAACTACATTCAAAACAATAACTACCCAGAAGATATTGAAGGACTTTGGACTTATGTCTATTATTCATACAGTGAAGCTAAGAACAAGGCAGTAGGTCTTATTAAATATGGAAATCAAGACTTCTAATCAATAAAACATGATACAACCCATGCAACTACAAAATATGTTAGATTCATTTTAGGAGGTAATGACGAAGGTAGATATCCAGGATTCAATGGTATATTCACATCTGTCACATTTGGTACCACAAGAGGAACTTTCATTGATAGCGTTGATTAAGTGAAGAATTATTTGGCTAAAGTTGGTACACCTGCATCTGAATTGCCTGATTTATTTAACTACAAGATTGTCGATTCAATATAAAGCAGAGCAGCTACTGATGAACCAGTTTATAAAGTTGTTGGAAAGGAGAACGAAAGATTCCCACATGAATATGCAATCAGTGGATGGTTCAAATGGCAACCAACAGCCTAGTAACCTTGGCATAACCTATTCAGGGTTAATTTGAAAACTCCATCAACAGATGCCTTCTTAGGAGATAGAACCTTGACTTGTTGGGTTGGTACAGCTGAAGGCGGTATTTTACATATGCCAACATATTCATATACAAATATGAATGGAGGTGGTAATACTAATTATTGGAAGAATATTCAACACAAAGACAGACACACTAAATGGTTCTGGGTATACTTTGGATATTCAAAACCAAAAGCTTAAGCTTATGCCTATGTCAAATGGTCAGATTCTGAAGATTCAAATACTTACGATAAGACTAATCATTATTATGCACCAGAATTCCATATTTACGCTGGAAGAGATAAACACTATCCAGGACACAGTGGAGTTGTAGCTCATGTTTAATTCAATCTTGGTAAAGATGCATTTAGAACTGGATCAGATTTCAATCATCCAAATGATGTCTTTGGATTTGGAAAAGGAAAGGAACTTATTAAGGGTCCAGCTGAATTCAAACCAAAAGATGCTGATAACACTATATTAACAAATGCTGCCAGCTAAGTTAAACCAGTTATTGACTAAGAAGCCAAATCAGATGCTCCATTTGAACAATATGGATATGGATTTTGGTTAAGATTTTTGACTGCACATCCTGAAAGATTAATAAATGGTAAGAATCAACCATGGTACTTTGTTTCTAGATTGACATAATTTGAGAAATATGATAATATTAGATTGGGAGACAGAACACTTGCTATTTGGTAAGGTTAAGGGTACTATCATTTCACTACTTGCAGTATTGCTCCATAAAATCCAAATTTAATCTAAAACATTGACTATCCTGCTGACATTGAAGGTTTATGGACATACATTTATTATTCATACAGTGCTGATAGCAATAAAGCAGTTGCATTCATTAAATATGGAGATTAGGAAATTAAATCAATTACTCATAAGACAACTCATGAAGCAGTTAAATATTTGAGATTCATTTTGGGTGGTAACGATGCTAACAGATATCCTGGATTCAATGGATAATTCACTTCAGTCACTTTTTCAACTGATGGAGCCTTTGTTGATAATCCAGCCAAGATCAATGCTTATATTGATAACCATAAAGCACCTTCAGTCGTTGTAGCATTATAAACATACAAATTAGTAGAGGATGCTATTTCCAGAGATTCAAATGCAGAACCTCTTGAAAAGACTGTTCAAGTTGGACTCCCATTAGAATATGCAATAAGTGGTTGGGTGAAATGGAAACCAACAGCTTAAGCACCTTGGCATAACCTATTCAGAGTTACCCTTAAATAACCATCAACAGACGCCTTCTTAGGAGATAGAACATTGACTTGTTGGGTTGGTACAGCCGAAGGTGGTATTTTACATATGCCAACATACACTTACACTAATATGAATGGAGGTGGAAACAATAATTTCTGGAAGAACATTTAACACAAAGGAAGAATCAATGATTGGTTCTATATTTACTATGGATATTCAAAGATTTCAAGAAAAGCATATGCCTTTGTTAAATGGACTGAAGGAGAAGACTCTTTGACTTTCGATGATGTTAATCACTATCTTGCTTAAACATTGTACTTATTTGTAGGAAGAGATAAGCATTACCCAGGACATAGTGGTAAAATTGGATACTTCAATTTCAATGCAGGTGAAGGAGCATTTGTTACTGGAAATAAATTTGATCATCCTAAAGATATCTTCGGATTTTCAATTGGATCTGATAATTTGCTCACCTAAAAGGATGCTGAATTGAAACCAGGAGTTCCAGTAGCTGAACAATTACCAAATGGATCAGAAGACAAGAAACCAGTTATTGAGAAAGATTTGAATGCAGATCAAAATTTAGAAGAATATGGTTTTGGTTTCTGGTTGAGATTCTTAACAGCTTATCCTGCTAGATTGATATCAGGTAAGAATCAACCATGGTACTTCGTTTCAAGATTGACTCAACATAACCAATATGATAATATTAGAATGGGAGATAGAACATTAGCTATTTGGTAAGGACAAGGATATTACCATTTCACAACTTGCAATTCTGTTAACAATAATCCTAATGTCATCCAAAATGTTGATTATCCAGCTGATATTGAAGGATTATGGACATACATCTATTATTCATACAGTGATGATAAAGCTAGAGCAGTAGGACTCATTAAATATGGAAATGATGATATCAAAGCAATTCGTCACGATGTTACTCATCCTGGAACCAAGCATGTCAAATTCATTTTAGGTGGTAATGATGCTGGAAGATATCCAGGATTCAATGGTATTTTCACTTAAGTCACATTCAGTGCTTCAATTGGAGCATTCATTGATTCTCCAGATTAATTAAAGCCTCATTTGGAGAAGATTGGAACACCAAATTCCCTTCTTAGCGAATTGACCAATTCAGTTCTTGTTGATTCTTAAATTGCTAGAGACAAAGGAACAGATCCTATTGAAAAGACTATTGGAAGTGAAGCCACTAGATTCCCACATGAATATGCAATTAGTGGATGGTTCAAATGGACACCAACTGCCCAAGAAGCATGGCATAAACGTTTTCAGAGTTACCCTCAAATAACCATCAACCGATGCCTTCTTAGGAGATAGAACTTTGACTTGTTGGGTTGGTACAGCTGAAGGTGGTATTTTACACTTGCCAACATATACATATGCAAATATGAATGGAGCTGGTAACACAAACCTTTGGAAGAACATCCCACACAAAGAAAGACATACTAAATGGTTCTTCTTGTACTTCGGATACACAAAATTGTAATAGAAAGCTTATTCATATGTTAAATGGACAGATGGAGAGGATAGTTTGAAGTATGACAATGTTAATCATTACTTTGCACCTTAATTCTTTGTATTCGTAGGCAGAGATAAGCACTACCCAGGATTCAGTGGTAAATTAGCCTATGTTAACTTTAATGTTGGACAAGGATCATTCAGAGGAGAAAATGACTTCAAACATCCTAAAGATGTATTCGGGTTTGAAATCGGATAAAACAAATTATTGGACTCAAAGAGAGGTGATTTCAATCCAAGAGAATTACAAAAAGGTTAAGCACTTTAGAATGACTTTGAAAATGATAAGCCTACAATTGAAAGAGACGAGTAATCAGGAGACTTGCCATTTGAGGAATATGGTTACGGATTCTGGATGAGATTCTTGACTGCCTATCCAAAGAGATTAATAAGTGGTAAGAATGCTCCTTGGTACTTCTTGTCCAGATTGACATACAATGATAAATACTAAGATGCTGGTATGGGAGATAGAACATTAGCCATTTGGTAAGGATAAGGATACTACCATTTCACAACTTGCAATATTGCCCCTGCTAATGTTAATTTAATTCAGAATGTCAATTTCCCAGAGGATATTGAAGGATTATGGACATTTGTTTATTACTCATACAGTGTAGATGAAAACAAGGCTATAGCATTTATCAAATATGGTGATGGAGATGTTCAATCAATTACTCACAAGACAACACATCCAGCTGTGAAATTCTTGAAATTCATATTAGGTGGAAATGACAATAAGAGATACCCAGGATTCAATGGTTAATTCAGAACAGTGACATTCTCAACAAGATCTGGTGCTTATGTTGATAAATTGGATACAATTAATGATTATTTGAAAACAAACCCAAGTCCATCAACATTAATTCCATTATAATCAAATCAAATCATCAAAGATCCAGTCTAAAGATAAGCTGGAGATGACTTAGTATAAAGAAGATTTGGAGGTGACGATAACAAATTCCCATTAGAATATTCATACAGTGGATGGTATAAATGGGTTGATGGACCTAATCTTAACGCTTGGTATAACTTATTCAGAGTAACAATCAAAGACCCATCAACAGATTAGTTCTTAGGAGATAGAACATTGTCAGGATGGATTGGATTTGGTAACTTGCATGTACCAACCTATACATATGCTAACATGAATGGTGCTGGTAATGTTAATCACTGGAAGAACATTGAACACAAGAACAGAATCTTCAAATGGTTCTATGTATACTTTGGATATTCAAAGAAAGACTAATTGGCATATGCCTGGGCTCAATGGTCAACAGGAGAGAAGGATTCTTAATCATGGGATAAATGCAATCATTATTTGGCTCCAGATTTCTTCGTGTATGTTGGAAGAGATAAGCATTTCTAAGGTTTGAATGGTCAATTGGGAGCAATCAATTTCAATTTGGGGGACAAGGATCATTCAGAAAGGGAGAGTGATTTCACTCACGATGAAGATATTTTCGGATACAATGCAGCATTCACAAAGAAATAACCAGCATAATTCAATTTGGATAGCAGAGTTGCTAAAGTGTTAACATCAACAGTTGAATAAAAGGAGCCAACATTCACAAAGAATTTCAATGCAGATGATGTAGACAATGTTAGTGAATATGGTTATGGATTTTGGTTGAGACATTTGAATAATGTTCATCCAGTTCCAATGAATAGAGGTATTTAAGTTGATTGGACATTTGTGGCTAGATTGAGTAAGAATGAGAAGTTGGCTGATATTGGTTTGGGTGATAGAGTATTAGCAATATGGTAAGGAAGAGGATACTATCATTTCACTACATATAATGGTGGAAATCCAAATAATGTGAACAATGTCAATTTCCCATAATTATTGGATGGTCTCTGGACATTTATCTACTATTCTCATAATTTGGATAAGAAACAATCAATTTCATTTGTTAAATTTGGAGAAGCTGATATTATTAAGAATGTCATTGCAGCTGAACACTTACCACCCTTATTACTTAAATTCTATTTAGGAGGACAACACTTAGTATACAAAGGATTCAATGGTCAATTCTCAGATGTGATTGTGTCTGCAAACAAAGGTGTATTCATTGAGAATATCGATGATATTAAGGCATTACTAGAGAAAGTAGAATAACCAGCTACCTATGTTCTTGATGTCAAGACTAAATAAGTGATTGTAAAAGAAGCCATATTTAATGACAAGACAGAATAGAAGGAAATAGTTTATGATGATTTGGCATTAGCTCCAGAATACTCTTGGAGTGGTTGGTTCAAATGGACATTCATTCCAAATCAATAAGCTTGGCATCTAGGTGTTCGTGTGAGTACTTTGTAATCAAGTGAAAATCTGTCATTCTTGGGTGATAGATCATTGTGCATGTGGGTTGGATAACCAGAAGGAGGTATTTTACACTTTGCTACTTACAACTACTAAAATATTTATGGAGGTGGTAATGCTAATTCATGGTAGAATGTTAAACATAATGATGATCATGCAAGATGGCACTTTGTTTATTTCGGATACTCCAGAAATACTAGATAAGCATATGCAAGAGTTGAATTTAGAGGAAGATTAGAAGAGAGACCTTACAAGGATCACAATCATTTCATTGCTAATGCTTATTCATTCTATGTTGCTAAAGATAAATGGCATGCTGCATATAGTGGTGTCATTTCAACTTTGAGATTCAATGTTGGCGATGGAGTATTCAGAACTGCTGAATATGAAAAGGCTAAAGATGATATTCATGGATATGATTCAGGAAGAGCATTGTACTTCAAGGAACTACCAAAAGTAGATCTAGAGAAAGATTTGTAGAAAGGTGGTTTGGATTCACCATAAAATGGTAAGGATCCGTTGATCACAAGAAAATTGTCAGGAGCAGAACTTGAAGACAATGTTGAATTTGGTTATGGTTTCTGGTTGAGATTCCTTACTCAATATCCAATTGCTTTGAAACAAGGATTGTAACCACCCTGGTCATTTATTGCCAGAGTCACTAGAAATCAAGATTTGGGAGATGCCAGATTAGGAGATAGATTATTGGCTAATTGGTTCAATAGTGCCAACTATTATCACTATTGTACAAATGATGGAGGAAATGTTAATTCAGTTCAAAATATCCAAACTGGTTAAGATATAGAAGGTGTCTGGACATATTTGTTCTTTGCTCATAGTGATGCTGTTGATTAATCAGTTGGTTTCTTGAAGATTGGTGATAAATTGTAGAAGATTGTAACATAATCAGTAATTCCAGTTCCACAATTCTTACAATTCTACTTAGCAGGATCATAACTCAATTATCCAGCATTCAATGGTCAATTTGCTCATGTAGTATTCTCTGCTGGAGAAGGAATTTTCAAGAAGGATGAAGCTCAATTCAATGCTTGGTTATAATAATTTGAAAAACCTGCCTAATTCAATACCAATTTGGTTACTAAGCATGTAATTGAAGACCCTAAGGAATTCAAATAAGATACTCCATCAGATGAAATTATTTATGAAGACTTAGCTCTAGTTGGAGAATATTCTTGGTCAGGATGGTTCAAATGGACTCCAACAGTGTAATAGCCATGGCATTTGATGGTCAGATTCTCAATCCACTAGGCTTCAGAAAACATATAATTCTTAGGAGATAGAACACTCAATGCATGGGTCGGATAAGGATACTTCCATTTCACAGCATACACATATGTTAATCTTAATGGAGGTGGAAATGTTAATCAATGGTAGAATATCAATTATGAGAATGATCACACAAAATGGCATTTCATCTACTTTGGATATTCAAAGGTCCAATAATTGGCTTAAGCTAAAGTGGAATTCAAGAATAGAGTTGCAGAATTGTCTTACAAGAATACAAATCATTATTTACCAAATAAGATATCAGTTTATGTTGCAAGAGACAAATGGCATGCAGTCTACAGTGGTAATATCGGTCATTTAAGAGTCAATGGAGGAAATGGGGCATTCAATCCTACAGGTTATGGTGATGCTAAAGATGATGTCTTCGGATATTAGATTGGAAAGGATGCATTTTTAGAGAAGGAAGCACCAGTAGATGAATTGAGAGAATAAGAAATATTAGATTCTGCATTTAATCAAGAGAAGCCAGTTCTTTAAAAAGAATTCAAGGAAGCTGACTTAGAAGGAGTCTCAGAATATGGTTATGGATTCTATTTCAGACATTTGGAATAATATCCAGTTTAAATGAGAGATGGTAGATTGGCACCATATTACATCATGTCAAGATTATCATGGAATAAGGATGAAGGAGATATCAGAATGGGAGATAGATTATTGGCAGTCTGGTAAGAATAAGCAGCAATATTGTTCATAACCAATGATTTACCAGGAAATCCAAATCTCTTGTCTAGAATACCAGTTGCTGAAAGAGAAGGAGTTTGGACATTCTTATACTTCAGTTATTCATTGGAAGATTAATTGGCTGTTGGTATATTGAAGTTTGATGGTATTGATGAAGTATTCCACACATCAATGAAATGTAACCATGGTAAAAGAAGTTATTTGAGATTCACTTTGGGATCTGCACCTCCTCATTTCTATCCAAGATTTAATGGTCAAATTGCCAACTATGCTATCAAATTTGGTAGAACTGGATTTGTGAGAAATTATGATTCCTTAAAGAAATATTTGGTTAACAGAATACCACACCCAGGATAGGAAGATAAAGCATTAAAGACATTGAAACATTTAGAAGAAGAGAAGAACTATAAGGGAGATAGTCAAGAAGAGCTTGTAGTTGAAGTTCCCAATGATTTGACTAAGTTTGCAACTGAATATTCAGTGTCAGGATGGTTGAGATGGGATCAACCACCTATTGGAGCACCTTGGTTCAATGTATTCAGATTGAGTTTATACTCTACAGAAGCAAATGCTGAAGGAAGATTTGGTGACAGAGATTTATCCTTGTTCAAACATGCTACCTACTATCATTTCTAAACCTATAATTATTAACCAGGATTACCATGGATTTATGGATTCGATTTCCCACATGAAGATTAACATACTCAATGGCATTTCTTCTATACTGGTTACTCAAGAGAAAAGAGACAAATCTATCACTATTTATCATTCTTAGAAGCAGAGGCTGACAAATTATTTGATAAACAAACACATCTTGTCGTCAACAAACACTACTTCTCATATGGTAAAGACTTCAAGAAGTTCTATGCAAGTCACAGAGGAGTTACTGGTATTAGTAATCTTGTTAACATTAATTATGGTAATGGAGCATATACAACTAAGCCATTCTTAATCAAAGATGGAGAGGACAAACCTTGATGCATTTTAGTTTCAACAAAGGAAGAGACCTCTATACTCCTAAATTCCCATAGAAGGAATTCACTACTGATAAGACCAAATTATTGGAATGCATCTTTGATAAGGCTGAACCAAATGTTCTTTTGAAGATCGAGGATTCTAAAGATGTACCCACTAGAGGATTATAAGAATATGGATGGTCCACTTGGTTAAGATGGTCTAGAACTGGACCTAAATCTATGCCATGGAGAATCGTTTGGCATAACATTGCTAGATTAACAAGTAAAAGAAACCATGGAGATTTAACATAACAAGGAGATAGATTATTGGCTGCATGGTTGTTCACCAACTCATATTACTTCTCTCATTCACCAAAAGGAGTTGGAGAATAAGTTCAACATATCCCATGGAAGATCATTGATGGAGAATGGAACTTCATTTCCATCTCATACAAGAAAGGAGAAGTCAAGGCTTATGTCTTCTAAAAGGGAGAAATCTCAGATTTCACATGGAAAGCTAAACATGACTTAGTTGGAGACTATTTAGAATTCATTTCAGGAAAAGAATTTGGATACAACTTCTTCAATGGATATATGTGGGGATTGTCATTGAAATTAGGTGATGGAGCTCACTTCGCTGATCAAGATGCTGTTAAAACCTATGTCACTGGAGCAATGAAATTACCAGATGAATTCAGATTTGATTAGACCAGAAAGACTCTACCAATCAAGAAGGAGAAGACTAAGATTGAAGCTACAGCTGAACCAGATATTATCACAATTGAACCTAAGGATGCTAACGGAAAAGTTGAGTATGCAATCTCAGGATGGGCTAAATGGACTGATATTCCAAATATTGGACCATGGCATCTTGTCTACAGAGTCACATGCTGGGGTAAAGATCTTGTTGGTAACATGGATAAGCCAGGAGATAGAACTCTGTCTATGTGGAAGGGATTAGGATTCTACCATCAAACTGTGTACACTGTTGATTAAGTCAATGGAGGAGCTTGGTCTATCCCACAAAATTTCGATTACAAGGGTTCCTTACATAAGACTTGGGTCTTTATCTATCAAGGTTATTCAAGAGAGAAGTAAAAGGCTCACGGATTCATCAAATTCCCAGATTCAGAAGAACACAGAGATTTCCCTTAATGTTAACTAATTCGTGCCCACTTACTTCACTGTCTTATGGCATAAGGATTAATGGCATCCAGGATTCAGTGGATAAATGGAAAATTGGTACTTCAATGTAGGAACAGGATCATACAGAGAGACTGGTTATGATGACGGTGAATCTGAATTATTGACATTCGGATTTGGAGGAAGACTTGTTGCTGAATTGAAACCATGGAAGGTTGATGATATCTTTGATTAAGCATGGGGACCAGACTAGAAGGTTGGAAAGGAAGTTGAAATGACTGATGACTCTATCAATGGAGTTACTGAATATGGTTATGGATTCTGGTCAAGATTCCTATGGAATGGACCAAGTAAATTAGTTGATAAACCTGCTTGGATGGCCTTGTCTAGATTCACAATCAATCAAAACTACTAAGGAGATGCTGCATAATAAGGAGATAGAACTCTTGCCATTTGGGTTGGACAACCATTCTATCATTTCACTACCTACACTCCAGGAAACAATAATGTTGTTTAGAATGTTCAATATGGATAAATGTTGGATGGATAATGGAATTATGTTTGGTTTGGCTACAAGAGATTTGATAAGACTGGTAAAGTGTAAGGACATATAGTGTTTAATGGTGAATAAGTCAGATCAACTCAATTCCCAGTGGTTACTCACAATCCAATTACTGATTATGCTTACTTTTCTGTTGGATCATCAGGTACAAAATTACTTAAGAATTATCATGCTTTCAATGGACAATTGGGATTAGTCAGTTTGATACTTGGAAATGGTGGATATATTGAATCTGCTGATGAGTTGAGAAAGAGTATGCCAGGAATGCCCAAGGTTCCAGAATTGAATGCAATTAAGAAGACTGTATTTGAAGACATTCAAACAATGAAGAGAGAAGAAGCCACTATGAAACCATATGAATATGCTGATGAATTTGCAGGATAATAAGAATATGCAGTTTCATTATGGTTCAGATGGAGTTCAATTGGAAGAGTTGCTTGGGAGAATGTTTACACATTGTCATATCATGATTAAGCCTCAAGAGCAAACCATGTCAGACCAGGAGATAGAGTGTTGTCAGTGTTCCAATACGTTGATCACAGAATCTTCTTCAGTACATACACTACTCCAGATAATCATGATGCTTTCGCTTAAATCTTCACTGAAGCTCCAGTACCAACTCTTGATCAAACTGCTTGGGTTTATGCTTATTATGCATACAGCAGAAAGGCATAATCAGTTGTGCATTTCATGAAGACAAGAACCACAGAAAATGAGAAGAAATTAGGATGCATGCACAGAGTTCCTAAATATTTAGGATTATGGGCTGGTAAAGATGGTATTCACACACCTTACAATGGTAAATATGCCCATATGTACCTATATGCTGGACCAGGATCATATAGAGAGAAGGATTACTTATCATATGAACCATATATTGCTGGTGCTCTTGGAATTCAAGCTAAACCATGGAAATGGAGTGAGAAGAAGGATTAATTTGATATTGCTGACAAATAAGAAATTGAATTAGAGGCTACTGCAATTGATGGTCATTCAGCATATGCAATTGGAGTTTGGTTGAGATACTTGACTGCAATTCCAAAGAGAATTTTGGAGAAATAAGCAAGAATGTCAGTTTATAGATTCACTTAGAATAAAAACATGGAAGATAGTGCTAAGGTAGGAGACAGAACATTGGGATTGTGGTTAACTTCTGGACAATATGGATTCAGAACATACAATTTGGCTAATAATAATCCAAACCTTTCTCAAGATATTAATTATGATGATAAGTTGGAAGGAGAATGGAACTTTGTCTACTTCTGTTTCTCAAGTGCCAAGCAATAAGCTCTAGGTTATGTCAAATTCTCATCCACTGGAGATATCAGAAGAGTTTCATTCCCAGAAATCGCTCATAAACCAATTGAAGGATATGGTAAATTGTATTTGGGTGCCACATTCACCTATCAAGGATTCAATGGTCAAATGGCCTAACTGCAAATGTTGTTTGGTGCCTAAGGATATGTTGCAGATACTGATGCCTTGGAAGCAATGATTAAGGGTACATTCACAGCACCTGAATTAGATGAGCCTGCAATTCAAACTATCAAATTATAAGATGAAGAAATTGTTAGAAAAGTTGATGAAGCTGCAGTTGTTAAAGAGTGGCCAGATTAATACTAAGGATCATTGGAATATGCAATTTATGGATGGTTCAGATATTCAAGTGCAACCTTGAAGAAAGATAACAACGTATTGTTGAGATTGACCAATAATGAACCTGCCTACAGAAAAGAAGCTGCCACTGTTGGAGATAGAACATTGTTGATTATGTACTAACCAAGAGAAGTCGTATTCTCAACCTACACTCTAGGAACTGTTGATAGCGGATTAGTTGCCAATATTAGAAAACCAACACCAGTTGGAAACAACTTCGGTGTTTGGACATACGTCTGGTTCGGATACAGTTGGCCAAAGAGAGCTGCTTCAGGAGTTGTCAAATTCCCAACAGAAACTGCTGTTGTTCCTTATGAAAATGTCCTACATATGGTACCTAAATACTTAGCTATGTTTGTTGGTTCAGATGGTATGTTAGGAGGATGGGAAGGTCCAATTAGAAAGGTTGGAGCAGTCTTTGGAAAAGGAGCTTATATTGATACCAAGAAAGGCAACTTCGAATCCCTTTTACCAGAAGTCCAAAGTTTAGTTATCAAGAAGACTCAATGGAAACCAGAAAAGGAGGGTTTGGTCTATGTTCCACAAGGCGAACAATTTGATAAACCAGGATTTGATGTCACATTCAAGGAAGAAGTCGGTGGTGTAAGTGAATATGGTTATGGATTGTGGACAAGATGGTTGATGACTACTCCTTAAAGAGTTAATGATAAATCACCATTCCATCAACTTGTTAGATTGACAAATACTGAAAAATATGAAGATAATGCCGAATTTGGAAATAGAATCTTGGCTACTTGGGTCGGTAAAGGATATTATCATTTCACCACTTATGACAAGAAGACAAGCAAGATTTCAATAGCTCAAAACATTAACTATGATGATTATCTTGAAGGCCATTGGAATTATGTTTATTATTCATTCACTTCCAAAGATCAACCAAGAGCTGTTGGTTTTGTACTCTTCGGAGATTTACCTGAAAACCCTGTTGGAAGAATTGAATTCATAGATCTTCAACATATGCCTTTGAATGGTTACGCAAGAGTTGTTGTTGCCAATAATGAATTTGGATACCCTGCCTTCAATGGTATGATCTCAGATTTCAGAGTCAATTTCGGACAAGGATTTGTTGGATCCAAGGAATAATTCCTCAAAGACATCATCTAAGCTTATCCAAAACCAAATATCAAAGTTCCATAAAGAACCGATGTCAATGTTCTAAGAGAATAAAAGAACTTTGAAAAGGATGATCCTAATCCAATTAAGAATTAATATGATCAATATTAAGGTGTCCTTGAATATGCAGTTTCTGGTTGGTTATAAGCCAAGAAGGGAAGCAGTGAAGAAACTGTTAAATCAATATTCAGATTGACCATCAACGCTCCAGGATACTAGAAGGATGCAACCAATGCTGGTGATAGAACCTTAGCTGGATTCTAATCTAAGGACTCATTCATTCTCTCCACTTATGATTATGGAAATCTTGATACCAATGATGATGATCAAAACGATTTAAATACCAAATTCTAGATCAAAGAAAACTAAGGAGAGTGGGTTTATCTCTACTTTGGATATTCCTCTAAGTTTAGAAAAGGATTTGCATATGCCTTATATCTAAATAGAGAAGATAGTTTCTAATTCAACGGACTTAAACACTTTGTTCCAAACAAATTCTGGTTCTACTTAGGAGCAGATGGCTTCAATCAACCATTCGAAGGAGCAATGTTTAACTGGAATCTTCATATTGGTGATGGCTCATTCAATATCAAACCTAAATCATAAATTGAATTATGGCCATATGAACCAAAAGAACCAATCGATCAAGTACTCTCAGTACTTTTGGGCAACTAAGGATTGAGCTCAATTAAATTAACAAGAAATGTTCCATAATCTGGAACTGTAGAAAAAGTTGCTGGTCCTGCATCAGGAAAAGTTGAAGTTGGAACTGGACCTAAATCAGGTTAAGTAAGTTCCGCTGATGGACCTAAATCTGGTTAAGTTGACTCCGCTAATAAACCTAAATCAGGATAAGTTGATAAACTTGAGGGAGCTAAATCAGGAGAAACTCAACCAGGTGCCAAACCATAGTCAGGCGATTAAGTAGTAAACAAATGAGCTTGATATTACATATACACAAAAATAATAAAACATTCATCATTATATTATTTCCATTCTTTTCATTATAAAAAACATTTAAATTTCAAATGGTATGTTGGATAAGGATCAGAAATTCAACCCTACTTTTTAAGTCATTTTAATTAAATACTTAAAATAACTTTATTTTAATGATTTACGAAGAACAACAACTCTCTAAAATAGAACATCTCTATTCAAATTACAAAGATAACGTATCAACCTAATAGGATACTAAATTATCCTTTCTTCTTTAAGGTTACAATGAAAAAGTGATAAAAGGATAATAGATTGTAATAGAAACACATTTAATCGATTACTATCATACTTAATTAGCCTTACTAATAGGGAATGCAGCAATTTCTTTAAAAAAATAATTATGTAAATATATAGATTAATATTTTTAGAAGAACAAGGAAGTGATGATGTTAAATCTATGGTTCTTTTACTTGTAAAATGGAAACTAAGCTTTCTTGAAAAATATTAAAGTTACGTTGTTGTCATACTTGAGTGTGAATTTTTGGGATATAAAGACATTTCTTTAGATCTTAGTACCTTCAACCCAGATGTTCATTTAAGTGAAACAAAAAAAATAAAATATACAATTCTCAAAACTAATTTAAACAAACCTCCACAATAAGTAGAACCTTAACCACTTAAGAAAGTCAAGATAGAAAACTTTGTCTTTTCTAAACCAATTGAAAACTCAATAATATTTGATGAAAATTTGATTAACTAATCTATCACTATGAATAAAAGTTATCTTAAATACTTCTAGGATTAATAGACTATTTCAGAATTATTAGTAAACAAAAAGAAATCTTGGGTTTTGGAAGGAAGAATTGTTGACAAAAGTGACATGCTCGAATTTAAGAAAAAAAACTCAAATGTTCTATCTCAATATTTTAAGATTATCATTTTGGATAGAGAACAAGGGATTATACCTGGATTATTTTATGATAAATCCAACCTTAAAATGTTTCCTATCCTAGAAAAAGGAAAAGTATATTTGTTTAAAAATGGAAGTGTATCTAAAGATAATTCAAATTATCCAAAATCCATAACATTTACCTAATTTTCTATAATCTAAGAATCAGAAAATGATGATCTTCCAAAAATTCCAATGATTTCACCTAAAAAAATATATGATTTATAAGGTCAACCAATAGACTCAATAGTTGATCTAGTTGTAGTAATACAAGTAAAATATTAATATAAATAATATAGGAAATTAAGACTTTGTCAGATGTTTGCCGATAATTAACTGTCTTGGATTAGACTGGAAGGATTGTAATAAAATTAATGGGTAAATAGTATGTAACTTAAATATTCAAAAAAGGCGAAATTATTATCTGTAAAGGTTTGACCTATAAAACCTAACAAAATTTTGCATATCTTACTTCTAATTATAACACTATCATTTTAAATGATCAGGATTACAACAATGAGTAATCATTTAATTAATTTTAGAGTTAAATCCTTAAGGGATTGGTTGTAAGAAAAAGATATAGATCACATAATGAAGCCTAGTAAAAATTGTTTAAAGGTTAATTTAGAATAATTGGAAGAATGTGTATTAAAGAAATTGAATGAAGGTAAAAGTAAAAATAATGAATAAATGATTGTAATCGGATATTTAACAGGAATGTCAATTTTTACTTACCCTAGATGTCCAAGTAATCGATGTCATTCAAAAATGGAAAAAGTTCCATAGAGGGATACTTATAGATGTAAGAAGTGCTATGTGGAAAATAATTCTCCATAAATGAGTTTTATAATGAATGTTACAATTATGGATGAACATACTAAAATTGAAGCTACTGTATTTGATGATTATGCAGTTAAATTGCTGGGATTATCTGCTGATGAGTACTAAAAATTAACAGAATAAGAACAAAGGATGATTTTGTACATATCCAAATTCAGATAATAACAAATAAAACTTTAAGTACTCTTTAACGATTACAACGGATCTATAAGGCCATAATATAAAGTAGTAGAAATCACTGATATCGATTACAAGGAATTAGCTGATGAAGAAATGAAAAACTTTGAAGAACTTGATTATTTATTAAATGTTTCATAAATTATATGAGTAGTTAGAAATTTCATTTAAATTCTTTATAAACATTTTGTAAACAACAAAATAATTCGAAATGCAATTCCATTTAGAAACTGAAAATAACTTAATAATAAGTGATTTTAGACCTGAGGATTGTATAGATTTTCTTTCGATGGAATCTATTTCCGACGTTGGGATTTAATTTCCAAAACCACAAAATACAAAATATAATGTTGAGCCTCCTCCTAATTCAAAAGACTTAAAAGAAAAAGTAATACTTTCTCCATTATCGCCTAATTTTGAAGGACTCAAAGATTATGAACAATAAATTTTGCTCCCTTCATAAAATCTAACTTAAAGACCAATTTAACAAAAGTCGTCAATAAAATTGATTAATAACAACCATAAGTAATAAACGAATTTTAGTGGAAGTTTCATGAAGTATTTTCATACTAGAAGATTTGTAAACAGAATATTGAGAAATAAACATATGTTTCATAAGTTACAACCAATACATTTAGAGATAATTAATGATGCTTCTTCGCATTATGATACTGAGATATTTGGCCAGAAATCTCATTCCTTCAAACCTCTTGGATTAATGAAGACTTTGCATTTATCAATATCACCCAGTCTAACCAAAAAAATCATTTCTAAATACAGATAGATGTCAAATTTCGTTTTGAGCAAACTTTAATAAATATTACACTAAATTCCAGTAATTCAACCTGAAAATAAGGGAAGAATTATTTGGGATGTTGTTCTTTCCATTACTCGATTATATTTTATTATCCTTATTCCAATTGATATGGTATTTGAAGAGAGATTGTTATATTCTGATAAACTAATAATAGTTACAACTCTATAAACTTTTTTATTGATTTTAGACATGTTTATCAATTTTAATACTGCTTATTATTAGTTTGGGTAGATAGTTTCAGAAAGATCAAAAATAATCCACCATAATTTTAGCAAGGGATATGGATTAGATGCATTTTCTGTGATCTTTTTAATTTGTTTATTGTTTGTTGATTGGGACTAAATCGGAGATTATGAACCCTTTGTATTTATTGGATTATTATCATTTACTGTTTAATACTAAAATATAACCAAATTAACTCGAATTTTTGAAGAAGTTTTGAATCTAAATAAAATTTAAGCTGGTTTCTTGGAATTAGCAAAATTAATCACATTGTTATTATATATTTTGCATATTTCTGCTTGTATCTGGATTGGGGTATTTATTAGTGCTTATAGTAGTGTGGCAGAATAAGTTCTTCTGTAACTAATGGTACTAGTTGGATGGTGAAGGAATAGGTACTTAATGAGCAATGGATAGTTTAATATTTGAGATCATTTTATTTCTGCACTGTGACTATGTTTACTGTTGGATATGGCGATTTAACTCCTTAATGTAGAGTATCGTATTATCTTTAGCTAATTTAGAATATGTGACATGCATCATATTTATCATGATTTTTAGTATCCAATTACCATATAGTGTAAATACTGTAGGAGCTATTATTGATGAAATTTCTAAATATAGCGAATAAAAATTGTAGAAGCTACGCATAATTAATACATATATGGCTAAAAAGAAGATCACCTATGAATTGTAGGTCAAAATTCGATAATATTTAGCATATTATTGGGAATGTCAAAATACATAACTTTCTCAAGAGGTCAAAGGAATTTTGGAGTAATTATCAGAAAATCTTAGAGATTCTTTAATGTTAGAAGCCAACTCAATTATATTAAATAGTTGTGATATGTTTTCGAAGTTTCTTTCTCCTGGCTTTACAAAAGCTTTAGTTAACAAGATTAGATATTTGGATGTTCAGCCTGAAAATATAGTTGATTTTGCGGATTAGCCTGACTCATATCAAAATTATTATTTAGCTTTCATTGAAATTGGAACAATTCAAGTTATTCAAGATTAAAATAATTGTAAAAATGATTCATATATTAAACAACTTAGTTCTGGTTAAGTATTTGGTTTATATGAATTTATAACTGGAACATAATGTAATGAGTTTTATAAAAGCAAAGGATTTACTAAATTATTGGTATTACCAAGAAATCAATTTTTAAAAATATTGAGAGATTTTCCAGAAGATAAAGAAAAATATTGTTAAATAAGAGATGATTTACTTTACAATAACGGCGAACAATTTCTGAGAGATATTGGAGTATAATGTTACATGTGTAATTCAAGGGATCATATAACCAAATTCTGTCCTATGGTACATTATTGTGCAGATAAGGAAAAGATAATTAAATCTCAAACATATATCATAAAATAACCTAGAGTAAAGCAAAAAAGAAAAGTTAGGAGAAGTTAATTTAATGGAAAGAGTGACCAAAAAATAATTATGGAAATAGCCTAATATTTTAAGGAAGACTTTTGGAAATAATGCTAGTATTATGAAATTAATGATATTGACTTAGAACAGTAACAATCCCCTCAATATAGTATCACATCAGATGAAATCAAAGAAAATATCAAATCAACTCCATAATTACATATAACTAAGACATCCTAAGTTATATAAAACAAGCACATCAAATAATAGAGAATAGGATTGTTAAATGAAATACACCAATCCAGGAGAGCTGCTAGATAGAATACGATATCTCCATTAATGAAATTTTCAACCAATTAATAAATCGCAGATTAATATTCTTAAAACGAAATGAAAGTAATACCCAGAGCACATTCTTCTTTAATAGAAAATGTCAGTTAATAAGAAAGTCAGATCACCCCTGAAAAACAAGAGGAAGAGGATGGAACAGCCTAGAAAAGTAATCAGCAAATAGTCCCAATTAAGGTCGAGTAATTTTAGACCAAAAAGAGATGTATGCCATAGCCTTAATAATCTTAATTCACAAAACGATTAAAAAACCTAAAAATAGAAATTGAAAAGGATCCTTAGAAGAAAATGAGTTTATTTACTACTACAGATTTAGAACTTTAAGAGAATTGTTCAGCCTTAGAATAAAGAATAATATAACTAAAATAATTTCAGGAGCAAGAGACAACAGTAGTTTAATTATAAAATTTGTCTATTCTAATTTAAAATTAATTGAATGATAAATTCATGTGCTTAGAAAACTTTGACTTACAAAAAGATTTTCAATTCTATTTACATCATAATAACTTTACTTAATTAGAAGTAAGTAATTGTTACAATAAACATCTAATCGAAAACTTATCTAGATTTATCAAGTATTTATTTTATCCATTCGTTTATATTAAAAAATACTCTAAATTAAATGTTGATGAGGATCATAAATTAGAAAGGCAAAGAAAAACAATGTCCTTTTCCAAAAAGAAAGCAACAGTAGTTATTAAATTTAGAGATAAAGCAAAATAAATTATAAACAGTAGAAGAATAGTGCCAGAATGAGAATACATTGAATATATATATATTTATTGTTAATTAAGATTAATTAGTTATCCTTATTTATTAATAAACTCCATGAATTTCTCTATAAATAGAAGCTACCTATAATTTTAAAACTTAAGTTAATATAGACTTGTAAGAGAAGAGTTTGTCACTTTTAAATGCTAACTAAATTCAAAAAAGAAATTTATAAGTATAAAATATCTTTCTTTTATAATTTTATAAGAAATGATAAATCTAAATCGAAAATTTTTTTCTGCCAATGATTTTGTAAAATAAACTAATCGTAAATGAAATATTTCCAATAAATTTGGTTTTTGAGAATAAGAAGGTTAGACTTAAAGTAAAGTTAGTCTTATTTGGTACTTAAACATAAAGAAATCAATACTGAATGTTGTATATCATTTATATAATTGAGTATATTGGTTAATTTCAACTTTTAATATAAATTAACTCAATCATTAATTTAGTTAACAAACTTAGATATGGATATTTTCTTACTATTTAATAGATCAAAACTATAAAGACAACTTTGATTTAATGACTTGATAAGACTTTGTTATTTAATTTGATATCATCTCTATATAACCAAATGATCTTTGCTTTAAATTCTTTAAATGCAACTTAATAAAACAATATAATTAAATCATTGATCTTCTGATTAGTGATCCTTTTGGATGATTTCAGCCGAATTGGTACCATAGAATTCATTTGGTAATTGTTAAAAGTAATTAAAGTTGAATTGCATTTGTTATGGTTGTGGAAAACCAAAATTATAAAATTAGTTCTTATCATCATATACTTGTTGAGGATTCATAATGAATTGAGGAAAATAACCAGAGGGATCTTATTAAACTATTTTTTCTTCATCTTTATTTGTTTAATCTAAATATTGCATCATAAATGGAAACTATTGTAATTGCATCATCTAGAAATCCTATAATCTCATTCTTTAATATTTACAAAAGGTTGTTAAGGGAAATAAGGAGCAGTGGGCTAAAACATAAATTAAGGAAAACAAGCATTTTCTAGGAATCCATTGTTAGCTTTATCTACTTATGAATTGCTTTCCTTTTTCTTGCGACCAGCTCCTTTCTACCTCTTTTTTACTTGATGAGAGAAAGGATTAAATTTTTGATGATGAGATCTTTCAATATGCAAAAGTAATTATACCTACATTGTGAAGGACTTCTCGTTCCAATAGTTTCACTCATTAGTTTAAATATTTTAGATGTTTTCTTTTAATCAGAAGATTCCATGACTGATTTATGTACATTGAGAAAATTAATGTATGTTTTATGTTCTTATTCACTCCAGTGTCCTGTGCTCTATTATGGGTTTAAAATTGCTCTCTTTTTGTTTTTTCTCTTTAATATCTACTGAACTTATCCAATGATTGGTTGACCGTTAACATTCGGAGCTTCTTCTTATTTTTAATATTCTTCTTGGCTCATCAATAGATGTAGTTTTTTGATTGGATTATTTAATAATAAATAAATTAAATTCAGAAAGTGCGATGAGACAGCAAGAACAATTAAATAAAGTTAATTAATAATATTGTAATGTATTTATTCATTATTTGAACAAACTGGGTTGAGGACCACCAGGACCAAATGGCATTTTAGGACCTTCCAAACCTAGGAATAATAATTTACATAGATACCAAATATTTTTTGTATATTAGACTTAAATATGAGGGCTGATAAAACATATATGAATATATAGGAACAATCGGTTAAATCCTCCCCATTAAGTCCTCTATGAGTAATTTGTTATAGAATCCAAAATGGTTCAAATGGCAATTTGGCAACAACAATTCCTGAATAATAATTACCAATTGAATTAATTGTAACAATAGAGAGTATAGCTACTGCTGCATTGGAGATCATCTTCTTGAATGTCATTTCATAATTCAATCCTTTAATTTGTGATTCAATTTGTGCTAATCTCTTTTCTTAATTTTTAGCATTTGTTTCTCTGTAAAACATATAAGAAAACTAGTTACTTGACAAATTATTCCTTCTCCTTATTGTATTTTGTGACAGCAGTCTCTATTCTTGATACTAAGTCCTTGTAATCTGCATTCCTATAAACGAGGAACCATGATACTAATTCACCAACTGAAATCGAAATGGCAGCTCCGACTATAATGAAGAGTGTTTCTCCTATATTAATATCCATTTATAAATTTAATCATTTATTGATTTTAAATACTTTAATTTTCAAAGCTTGGCTAATTTATCTAGTTATATTGTACAAGAAATGGACGTGGACAAGAACAGTTATCAATGCTATTCCTTATAATAACAATCCTTCTTCAATTAAGGATTATCCAAAAATTTACCCATATATCGTATTGAACAACAATACGAAAAAGAGATAAATAGAATTCAAATAATTAGGTAAATCTTGATTGCTGACGTGATAGACAGCCACAATACCCTAGAGTAAAGATAATATAAATACCGCGGCCTTGCTCATTGTGAAGCCAAATATATAGAGAATTGCTCTCATGTGTCTAGAACCAACATCACTTGGGGAGAATAGTATCACATAAAATAGCACTAAGCCCGCGAATAGCATGTACCTCTGAGATTTTAAGGCTTGAGAAAGGGGGACGAATTTTGTAATTTTCTTGAACCTTGATAAATAATATTTGAATTTTATTTACACAAAAGGAAGTCCAAAGGCCACAACCACAAAAAATATTATTATAGCCACTGTATTAAATTATAAATTATAAAACTGTGGCATTTTCTAGGTCCAAAAGTCGCAACCTTAAATAAATTTATTATAAATTACCAAATATGGCATTGATGGCAAATAATGAACCAACAAAAACAGTCCCTTCAGCAGCAGCGTTAATTATTGGCAAGTTCATTTCATGTGTGTAGTATTCTTCATGTGCTATGATATAGAATGGATAAGTTGGAACACATATTAATAGAAATGCCAATATTGATTATCCGCATTATAGACAAGTGACGAAATTTGTACCTAAATTACGTCCATAAATTACCTTATATTGCAATGATCATAGAATCAAAATTATGATCCAGAATCATGCCCAAAGGAGATGAATTGTCTATATAAACAATGAATTAACTACATTACTTGTTCTTCTTGCCTGTTTTCCATCTAAGTTATCAAAATTCTAATTTAGGTAAAATATAATTACCATATAGATCATGTGTAAAATGAACGTTGTCCATAATAACCAATCTGGTATTGTTCCTTAAAAGTTGTCTTCCATCACAAAATAAAATAATATGTGACAAATTATTATGCAAATTAATCCCAACAGGGTAAGCGTATTAGGACTTTTTTTTATGAAAATTCTTTTACGCCACATTCAAAGGCACATACTTCAAACACCAATTCGCAAAAGGTGAAAGGACATAATTATACAGCAACGATTAATCAGTGCCTTTGTATTTGTATGTTTTTAAAAACTTCAAATTTTCTTGAGCAATAAAGTCATAATTTAATAAATTCATATTTTTATTAATAATGTATACAACTCCTCCTTTCTCGCATAATTATTCAAACCCAGTGCTTATGAAGGATGACGTTGGAAAACCAAAACCATCTACTTACAATTTGCCAAAATAAGATTATGTTTACGGCCTTCCACTTATAAGAGACAAAGAAGGTGCCAAAGAAGGTAATATATACTTATCTAATTTACTTCAGTAACTATGACCTGGAAATTTCATCAAGAATCTTAGGATAGAATTCCTAATCGTGATTTTGCTGAACTCAATAAGATGTCTGTTTTCAATGGATCTCTTACAGCTCATGTAACTTAATTCGATATTCCTTCTAGGATATGTATAAATACAGATAAACTCATGATGCTCGTTTACAAGTTAAAAAAGGCACTAACATTTAAGCTATTGAATTACCAGAAGAGGAGTTTAGATACGGAAGAAAAAACAGGTTTATATTATTTTTTTAATATGTTCCTTAGACCATCCACTCCCATGAAGTTAGTGATGGGTAATTCTTATGGAATAGAAGCTGCATCAATTACCTTGGACAAATATTACAAAAGAGCTGGCTCATAAGTATTATGATTTACCTTTTATCACTTAGGAATCCAAAATGACTAACACAATTGTCAGACCAAATAAGGCATCATAATTATTTCATGAAAGCAATCACAAAAAACTTGCAGTGATAAAAGGCACTGAGAAAAAAGAGCCATTTAAAATGGAAAAATTTAAGACAGTAGCAGCTAGAACAGATACAAACCTCATAACAAAGAAAGAGTGATTATCTTAATTTATATATTAATGAATTAAATCAAAAAACTATTAGTCGAAAATTTGAATTACATTTTCAATATTCTAAAACCCTATAAGCATTAGAAGATTTCCTCCTTTGTTGAAATTTAGCTACAAGACTTCATTCAATTATTTAGTAGATTACAATTAATCCAAACTAAGCTTTAATAATTATTCAAAATGTGTGACACATTGTAAAAATCTGGAATGGCCTTAGCTCAATCATAAAAATAGATATTAAAGGAAAAAAGCGAAATCTAATTACAAATGCAAGAGATAGAGAAATTACTTTATGATGATACTCAAGCTTCTTTATAAGAAACATAAAAACAAGTTCATGATATCAGCGAATTATGCGGCGAGGCTTATAAAAACCTACTTGATAATTAATCCTTCGATTTGACAAAGATATCTCAAATATAAGCCCCATAAATAGATGATATTGGTGAATGGGATTCAAAATTAGAAAGTTCCAGAGATAAAACTAGTGAATTCGATCAAATTAGAAAGGCTTTTTAAGTATTAGACAAAGCTAAATTATTTGAGCCTTCAAATTTACAAATGTTGATGAAATGTGCAGAAAATACTGATAAATAGATATACATGGACTTTTTTCTTTAAGTAATTAATATTTAAAGGAAATAATAAGAATCTAATTCAAAATTAGTAGATGAAAGATCACCTGAACTAAGAGAGTAGATATTATAGATGCCTATATGCTAGGAATTTTCATTTGAGTCTCCGTTGCCATCTCTTAGGGAGCAAGAATAACCTTAATAATAATTTAAACATGTGAAATTGGAAGATTTATTGAAAATTGAAGAAAGACTAATTTCGGATACAAGCCCTAACAAATAAAATTTTGTTAAAAAACAACCTGCCAATAAAAGTAACATTGATAATTCGTTTTATTCTTAACACAATATTAAACATCTGATCAGAAGATATCCTAACAATAATATTTAAAGAGAGAAGAGCCCTTCTGAACATATTTCAAGAAGTAGTTCAAGTTTACTAGTCGAGCAAAGCTAATCAACTAGATAGTAAAAAGAAGTTTTTAAAAGAAAAATTAGTCAGCCTACATCAATTACTGAAAGAAATGGTAATATATGATAATTACTTAAATTTATTATACAAACATATATATCATCAGCTTGATAAATATTCTAAGATATTGACACATTTTCTAATCGGATTCTTGATTCTATTAAAATCAAGTCTAACTTATTTTAAGACTTCTTACAGCATATTTTGAACCTAGAAATTTGTTATAAAAAATTACTTTTTTGTTTGCAGTGGATCCTTTAATCAATGGAGCAAAGTCTATCAAAATTTATTTAATCCAAATCAGACAAGATTCAACTGGTCTATGAATTTACATCGATCTTATTATGGTTTCTAACAACCTAACAATCAAAGATTCTGGAATTGCTGGAACAGTATTTATTATAAAATCCACTGGAATTGAATTAAAGACTTGATCTAATATGCTGGCTTCATTTAATTTAAGACTTAAAATTAATGCCTCAGTATAATTTTATTAATTGATTTATTTCTGAATTTCTTCCAAAGACACAGTTTCATCTATATCTAAAGGATCGAAATATTATCTTCTTTTTGCAGATCCAAAAATTGAAACCCCTTCACTTGAAGACACAACAAATTCCCTATTAGATTCTGTAAATTGTAGATTAAATACTGAAACAGGAACTCTTTTGCTACTCCTTTTTGAAACGTCAAAAGTCTTAGCACCTGGTAAGTTGTCTTTCTATCTTTCATCATCTGATTCTTCAATATTTTTGTTCTCTTGATCTATAGTTTTATAGTTCACTTTCAATTTCATTCCATCAAGGGAATAATTGTTTGAAATGATAAATCTCCTTATCAATATTCTATATTTCATATCGTAAAGACAAATAAATTTGCTATTGCCTCCTCCGATTAAGTATTACCCATCTTTTGAGAACTCAATTGTAACAAAATATTTTAAATTCTAATTTTTTTAAGCTGCCAAAGTTTCTTTTGAAATTCTACCTCCTTAGACATCTCGGTGAACATCAAAAGTGAATAAGATTAAGCTTTCATTAACATCCCAAATGACCAATTCACCACCCATTGTGGCTACTGCAATTTAATTAGTTCTAGTAGCAAGTGCAGTAACTTCACTATTATGCAACATTGAATCTCCGCCACTTCCTTCCTTCATTCCTCTTGCATATAAATCATGAATCCTTATAGTTTTATCCCAAGAACCTGAGATTAATAATACCTTTTCTTCTGCTTAAATGAATTTGATCGATGTGATTGGAGCTTAATGGCCAGATATGACTTCTACTAATTAACCAGTTTAAAGACTGAATACATATATTTCATAAGGATCAAATCCACCTACACAGATTAAATCACCAGAAGGTTCTACATCTAAGCATTATAATTAATTCAATATTTCAGGTTACATAACTCTAAAACATTTTAATCTAATAGTGTCATAGGCTCTAACAGTTCCATCAAGTGAACATGAGATTAAGACGCCTTGTTTCGAAGGACAATATTTGATGCCTGTGACTTTAGAACTATGTTAATCATTAAATTTAGCAATACAGAAATTCGAAGTCTGATCATACAATCGAATTATTCCTCCTAATGTTCCAACTGCAATTGTTGTTAAATCTTAACTAATTGTACAGCAAGTAGTTTCATAACTCAGTGATTATTAATTTAAAATGTAGCTTTAAGATCTCCATTCCCAAACAATCAATTATCCACTATTTCTCATGCCTAAGGCAATCCAGTTTCCATTTTTGTTAATCGCCAAATTATCAATTTGTGTTTATGTTATTTGGAAGCTTTATATTTAAATTAAGAAAGGATCCTCAGAAGGTTCTATTTTAAATAAAGTCAAAACTCCGTTTTTCATCCCAATAATCATAATATTTGATGTATGATATGCAACTGATTTAATTGCAGCGAAATGCTTTACCAATTTCTCTTTTATATTTATTTTCTTTTCCAAAATGAATCTACCTTTATGAACATTCTTCTCAAAATCACTCATGTATAACAATTCGTCTGTTGAATATTCAGACTAATCATTTTCAACTCCTAAATGATGTTAAGCTTTTGTTTTTTGGAATTTTTATCTGGCTTCGTATTATTCAGTAACATAATCAGTAACAAATTTCCATAAGCACACTTTTCCTAGAACATCAATGGTTATAATGTATTACACATTGGACCCTAGGAAAAATGCTGAAGCAATTTTGAATTTATGAGCTTGCAACATAATATCAGTGTATAATCTCAATTTAAAGACATTATTAATAATGACAGAATTATCATCACCCCAAGATAAAATAAATCGACTATCTGGCGACCAGCAAATACCATTGATTTTATGCTTATTGGAATGTACTTTTATCTTCTCCATTTCTAAATTATAGATAATTAATTTATTGAGATAAGCAATTGCTATCATCTTTCCATCAGGACTATGCTTTATTTATTTTATTTGCTAGTTTTTACTTTTAATATGTTTGCCATTGCATAGAATATTGAATTAATCATCTACGCTTGAATAATATTGTTGATTGTAAACACTGAAGTATTTTACATTATACCTGGTTTAGATTATTGGCTTTACAGTATTGTTATAAAGGTTATACTCCATCAATCTATTTCCTGATCCACAAATTAAGATATTATCCGAAGTAAATTACAGAATTTTGCTTGTAGTTGGTGATGTTAAGAGACTTTATTCTTCAAATTATGTAATCATCAGAATTATTATTTAATTAATAACATATAAAATATTCAAATAATTTCTTTCTCATTTATCGAGTTTTCTTATTGAGGAATCTCAACTGCTTCTTTAGACAAAATCGCAACAGTTACCCAAGGTTCTTCATATAAATCTTCCTAAAAATAATTGCCTTTATATTCTGCAAAACTTTTTTTATTATTTGGGTCACTATAATATAGGAAATTCTTAATACCTCATTTATGTTGAATCCAAACCACCTTCTTCCTGTAGAGGCTCAAAACCTGCAAATTTAGAAATATAGACTTTATGTTTTTTGCTTAACTTATTTTGTAATAAATGTAAAAATTCTAATGCTTCTTCTCTCATCCCTAAAACACTCATTGAAGAAATAAATCTTTAAATTCTATTCAAGTTATGAGTATAAGTAAAAAGACACTAATCAAATTATGTCTCATCAATTATTTCGAGTTCTTATCTTTCATTTCGAATAATTCCAAGAAATCTTAGAAACATTCCAACATTTTGTCTATATTGTTTCATAATCTTAATATACATAATACTTTACATCAGGATCTTGCACGAATTTGTTTCTCTCTTAGGGTGTTAATCTGTAGCTATTCATATTTAAAAATGATTAAAAGAAATTAGGGTATAACCATTGCATATATTATTTGTCTGATTCAAGATCAGAGTAAAATTTCGTCAACTGGTGATTTTGGGTATTATTCATCCAATGTTTTTGATGAAAATTCACTGAAGGGTGCAAATTTATTGGATAATCCCCTTTATAAAAGTCAATGTTAGGAAATTCTCTTATTTTTGCCTTCAAAACAGCTCTGCCTCCTGGTTGAGGATCCCCATCACTCGATGTACATTACCCCATTTTATAAATTATCAATTATACAATTACTTCAATTATTTATTAATCATGCTAAAGAGCATATGGATATATTCAACAAAAAATAAGCAAGAATACAGAAACTTAAATCTGATAATATAACGACAAAATTGTTACATAAAAATTATCTAAAAAACTTTGTTTTAAGTGTGATTTATTAAATCTAATTCTTTATATGGTTTCCCATTCTCATAAATTCAAATGGGATCTGTATTATTGAGAATTTTATAGTTACCTTTGATCTCTTGAAATAAACAACAACTAATTAATTTAAAATATATTTGAGAGTGAAGTAATGAATTAAAATAGATTTAGGTTTACAAATCTAATATTTTGCATAAATCTATAAAAATTGGAGGATGTAATTAAGATTGTCAATACAAAATAATTAATTTTAAAATACAAAAAATAAATTAAGAAATCAATAAACGCATTTATGTTTGTCAATATTTGATTTTAATTTACCATACAACTACTTGAATAAAAGGAAAGATGAGAATATAATATTTACTATTAAATTTTCAGGTGAATTTAAATTGAGAATTACAATGATAAATAAGCCGAAATTATAGTTGCTTACATTGTAAAATAAGTTTCATAATATGGAATTATAGAGAGAGTAGTTTCAAATTTTAGGGTATGAACAAAACAGATAATGAACATTTTCTATCGTATTTTCACAAACCTTTTATATTTTAAATAACCAAATCCATAATTACTACAGTGTTTCAACTAAACGATTTCTAGTAGCCTATTTATCAACTATAAGAGAAAATTGATGAAAAAATTACAACCTTTAGTATGAAAATACCAAGATAAATAGAAAATACATAAAATAGCAAACTCAATTAAAAAAATTTACATAATTAAAACTTTGAATGAGGGAAATTTGATAAAAAAAACAAATGGAGCTGAGAAATTGGAATGATTAATAAATTTAAAAACTTATACAAGTTCAAGCTCAAAAATAAACCAAAAGGTAAAATCCATCAGCTTTTCTTCTAAATTTGAAAAAATTGGGAAAATCAAGCCTCATGATTATCATTAAAAATATTACCAACAATTAACAATATAGTTATGATAGAAATTCTAGATTGAAGTCTCAAACAATTCCCTACAACAATTTTAACAAATCTCATAGATTATCCAAAAGGGGTTGGGCATAAATTATTTCCTCCATTCCCTTCCATAAATCAAGCTTCTATCTTTGCTTTAGTAATTGGCCTATTTGATATCCGATTTGGCTTTGAATGCCTTCATTGCATCTTTTTAAAAGAAATACTGGTGCTATTTTTATATAAAACTATTGATGGCAATCATACTGAATTTATTATTTTATTCTTAATAATATATAAAAGAGAATATTTTCTTTCATTTTAAATTTAAATTATTATTCGATTAATTTATTCATCCTAATACACTATTAGCTAAAAGCAGCCTATCAAATCAATAAGACACCAAGCCTACAAATAAATTAATTAACACCATCACATTTAGTTTGTAAAATATTAATATATTAATTGTAAACCTTATTTACCTTTAGAGGTGGGTAATTTGAAAACATTGAACCATAGTGGCTCCCCATATTTATCTATAATAATCAATCTTCCTCACATTAATACCATTTGCAGCAAAACTAAAAGCGTATTATTAAAATTGATTTGACCATAAAAAAATCTTTTGAATTGAAGTATCTATATAAATGATTCTGAAACTTTATTCCATATATACAGAACTTTTAGGGACTCTTTTTCATTTAAACAAATATTTAATATAAATATAATAATATTTTCAAAAAAAGTACGGAGAATTAAAACAACAAAATGTTTGCATAATATAAATTTCAGAATAAATTATGTTGTTATAAATCTCATTTGCTCATTCATCTTTTTGCTCCTATTCATTTGCATTTAACTCAGTGTATATTCTTATTTAAATCTATCTTGAGTTTTTGTCCCAAGTAATTAAATATTTACCATCATCGCTCAGAGTACCAGACACTTCCGGGGTCCAAAAAGTTAAAACTTATTTATACCTTAACTTAAAAGATCTATCAACATATTTAAATATATTGGTATAATTGCCATTCTTCATTAGAAGTACTTATTTAGATTAATTGTATAAAGAAGGAAAAATATGCGCACACCTTTAACTAGCTCCTTTGACAGGTATTTCATTTTCTTTTTTGTATTAATTTAACTGATTTAATCTATAAATATTCATATGTTTTGTTCCATTCCAAAGTTGTGTTACAGGTTAAAATACAAAAGTATCATTATCTAAAAAGCAGACTCTAAAACCCTATTATTTAATATTGATTGTTTATTTTAGTAGCCAAGCTGAAGTATTTTTTTACTGTAAAAATGATTGCTGATGCTCAAACACTTGTATTCGATGATTTTCGCTACTTGTAACAATTTAAGTTCCATTCATGTTAATAGATATTCCTAAAATTTGATCGATTTCAGAGATTCTATCAACACTAAACCATTACCTATGATTCGAGTATTAGAAAAATTGAATTAATCCACTAGAAGCAGATATAAATTAGTTTTCAATAATTGGATGAAGAATCAATGCAACTATCTAACTTTAATGAGTTTTTATTTTTTATATATATTTTGGATTAGCCAATAAGCTTTTTGACCAAACTATGATAAATCCATGAAGAGATCCTGATAAAAAATATTGTGACTTATTTAAAAATTTAAGGTGTTTTATATAACTCTTATCTCCTCCCAATTTCGCTAGTAATTTAATATTTCCAATTTTAAATATGTAAACATTAATTTTTGCTTTTGCTGAAGCTATTAATAAGGTGTTTTCTTGATTAATGTCGATGGAATAACAGAATTCATATTATCGGACTGATTCATTTTCTACTTATTTATAAGAAAATCTCTTCAAGTCAGTTTGTTAATTCATATTTTATGATTATTAGATTGCCTATATATTTTTCATCTGTTAAAGTATTTAAGTAATTCTTATTGAAATCTGAATTAAAAAATTAAATTTATATTAAAGGAAGAATAATTTTTTGAGGTAGTTCTTTCATTATCTTATTACATTTTAATTTTTTTCTATAAATTCTATCTTCATATTTTTTTCTGTAATGCAAGATAAAATTACTCCTTTTCACTTTTTACATTTTAGTATTTCTATTGAAATAGGGGTTAAAATCAAATTCTACCTATGAAAGATACTTAACATATTCATTTAGATAGCATTCTCTGAAATATAAAATCAAATAGTTGTTTATATATATCAGCTGAGTCAGAAGCTTTGATGAGCATTTAAGAGTTCAAAGTTTTAGATATTTAATAGAGCCACAATGAAATTTAATGAATAATACAAAAAAAAAATAAAATTTTTTGGCTATTATAAATAGTGCAACAAGTATTAATCCTAATTTTGTTTAGTGCTTTTATTTCATTAAATTTAATAAATTAATGGTAGGAAAGCTAAGAAATCTATTTTACTAAATCCTATTGACATCACCATACGTATTTTAAAAATATATTTTTGGATAAAAGATTAATGAATATATTTATAAATTTTCTGTTAGAATTGTCTAGCCTTTTATTAGTTGTTAAGACCTGATCTTGTTAAGCATAACTTGAGACTGTTAGGTTATATGCTTTAGAACTAAATGCTTCCCGATAAATGAAAGGAAATCTTATAGAGTGATAGTGTAATGATATAATTTCAGATTAAACAAAAGTTAAATTTATTGACTTCAATTAGATACGAAAAGATATCTTGGCTAATTGCATTGATTAGTATAAATAAAAATTTGATAAATAAAATCAAAATAATGCCAAGAAATTCCCAAGGGATGTTCTACATATGTAATTAGTAATGACGGTACTACTTTAATTTGTACTGCATGCACTACCTCATATTCACTTGTTTCAAATGTTTGTTTACCAAGTCAAAATTGCCAACAATTCAGTACTACTACTGGTAATTGTTCTTAATGTGCCCCTGGATACTACTTGAATTGGTAGTTTAACTCCTTTGTTTCTTAAGTCTCAACAGATGCAATTCCATATTTCAATAATTTCCCCTCTTAATGTTCAGCTTGTACTATATCCAATTGTCTTACTTGTACTGGTCCTACAGTTTGTACTACTTGTCAACCAGGATACTTCTGGCAAACATCATAATATCTTTAATAACCATCAAATGGATCATAAGGAAGTTGCCAACCATGCATGCAAGGATGTTCAACCTGTTCAAACAATCAATCATGCTAAACCTGTTTCTCTGGATATTATATGGTCTTCCCATATTCAGGAATCAACTATTGTTAACTTTGTTCAACTGTTGCTGCAATATCAAATTGTTTGACTTGTGATACTT